GAGGGGGGAGGGTCAGAGGGAGAAGCAGACTCCCTGCCGAGCAGGGAGCCCGATGCAGGACTCGATCCAGGGACTCCAGGATCATGACCTGAGCCGAAGGCAGTCGCTTAACCAACTGAGCCACCCAGGCGCCCGCCAAGTCCACTTTCAAGTAATACTGTATCACTTCATGATTTTCAGTTTGTTCAGCTTTTATCTTATGAGGACAGGAGTGATGACTTCTAATCACTTTATAACATCAGACTGGAAACTGGAAGTATGGGTATTATTTTTCTTTATTTATTTTTCTCCTTTATTTATTTATTTTTTTGTGTGTTCATTCATTCAACAGATATTGGGTGCTTGTTATGTACCAGATACTCTTCTAGGCACTGGGGAAGAAAAGACAAAAATTCCTGTCTTTATGAAGCTTATATTCTAGGAAGATAGATAATAAAAACAGACAAGATGCCAGATGGTGATAGACGGTAAGGAGAAAAATAAAGAGGTCAAAGTGTGAGGTGAGGATGATAGAGATAGGTAGGAATGGAGTACTAAAATTTTAAATAGAGATAGCTAATACAACCAGCAATCTATAAAGGCAAGAATATTAAACTGCAAAGTGTTTTTAGGAAGATAATTCTTTACAGACCCTAAAAAGCTGACACTCTAGATCTTGAAAAACTTGTTTCCCGAAAAGGGGGAAAAGCTACTGACTTTGACGTTTACTATTAAATTTTATTGAATTTGTCTTTAGGAAAATTTCATAGGTGAACAGGCCTTACCCATGGTTTACATATATACATATGTCTTACCTTTGAGGGGCAATATATATATCCATACTATACATATACTGCATTTATAAAGTAATTAGTAGTAAGGTCAAGAAATAGAGTTGAATGTATAAACATTCTTCTAAACATGTGGAAGAAATTTACCATACCATACTTCCCTTCTTTTGTACTACATCAGAGTTAAAATAGGAAATCTTTAAAAAAGTCCCACTGAGACAGGCTCATGGCACAGGGAATATACTGAATTTGGGGTGGTTTAAGCATAGTATATATACTTCAGAGAATTTTGTGATTATAAAAGAGTAATGCAGTTCATTTGAAAACTAAGATCTGTGTTGTTTTGTTCACAATATGAAACCGACAGAGCTTTAGGAAACAGCCTCTATAATGATATTTTGTATTTACTCATTCTTACACTTTCCTGAATGCAGTTGTTAAGGAGGAAATTTCAGAGATGAATAGCACGTACTCGGGAAAAGTAGCCATGAAAATCAAGTAAGTGGCTGGGCAAGGGCCTCAGTAACATTCATATGCTAAATGGCTAAGGTGTATGATGTCCTGGGTTTATGACATTAAACTATTCTATTTCTTTGTTTTATTGAAATATTAAATTCTGTGAGGATTTACAGGGCTGATGTTCAGCTTTGCTTTTGGCCAATGAACATTTAAATACTTAAGGAAGGTAGGGCCCAGAAAATAGCTAGGAAGGTAATTATGCTTTTAGAGATACTAAGAATTCTCCTAATGGTTATTCATACTGGTAAATTTAACTTATGGCAGCTCAAATAGGTAGGTAGGAGAAGGAAATCTCCAGGAAAAACTGGTAATTTAAAACTTTGTTATTTAAGAAACCCAGTACTCCCCTCCCACCTCCCCCC